AATATGAAAGGCATGAATCTTCATGAAGCTGTTCCTCATGCAGCAGAGGCCATGCAACATTTGCAGCCTCTGCTCTCCATCACAAGAAGTCCTGGGGGAGGTTCAAGGTAGATCCTTGCCGTATCCGCTTTGCAGCCTCGGATAGCCCAATAAATAAAACAGAAAGTTGGCAAAGCCCTGATTCAGCAAAGGTGTGAGCACAAGCTCGGCATTAACCTCTGCTTAAGCTGATTTGGAATGAGGCAGTTAATCCAATGGCAGCCCCAGAGTCAGACCAGAAAGTGGGACTTGAGCAGCTGAAGCATCAGGGTTTTAAATCTGAGAGAAGCAAATGATTCAGGATGAGGAATTTCTGAAATGGAGGTAGAGAACAAAGAATGGGCACGGCAAGAAAGAGTGCTCTGAGTCATGGGGAGATCCCTGGGGGTAACAGAGGCCGGCAGGAGCAGGACCTGCCGAGCCGTGAGGGCTTCTGCAGGAGATGTGCTGTGAGGAGGGCCGTGGCACACAGCCCTGGGCTCTGGGGGCGCAGCTGTATGAGCAGGGTGCAGTGAGCGGGCACCAGGACCATGCGCCCGGCTCTTTGTGCTCCTGCGATCTGTGACTCCATCACGATGCGGTTCATATTCAGTTATGGTGTTTTAATGTAGTCATGGCTACACTGAGCAGACACGTTTCTTCCTGATTTACACCGCTGGAATCTGCGATGCGGGTGGAGGCTGCCTACAGCCCCTGTCCCCAGGCTGCCGTCCCAGCACCGCAGAGAGGCGAGCAGCGCGCGGTGCCAAAGGGAAGCACGGGACGTACCTGCGCCCTGCGGAGTTTCACTGCCCTCGCTGCTCCTCCTGCCCTGGCCCTGGGTGCTGCCAGCACTGCGCTGTGCCCAGGTCTCACGGCCTCGGCTGCTCCATGGTCGGGGCACTGGTGGACGTCCCTCCATCTGCAGAGTGGCTCTGGGGCACCGACCTGCCATGATGTTCTGCAACAGCTTTGGTCTGCTGGTTGGAAACGTACAGCGACGATGCCCTCTAGGGAGCAACTTGTTTTCCCTTCCTCTAATTCAGCTTCAGATTTGTGAATTTTAAGGCACACATTGTGTACATAGAGGTGTGCTCGTATCTGTACGGACGCTGTCTGTGTGCGTTCTGCAGTAATTCTCCTTGGATGCTCTTGCTTTCTCCTACAGTCAATTTCTTTGAATGACACGGGGCTGATAATGAATGTGATTTCAGTGCCAAATGATCGGGCTGGCTCATCTCATTCCACCTCTCCCTGTTTTGAGCAAGAATGTGGGGACTCGCTGTGTCTATTTCAGATTCCATCATGAAAGGAATAATTGAGATTGAGATTCTTAGTCACTCAATGCAGAAGGTCAGGGAATTAATGCTGTGTTACATCCAGACCATTCATTTACTGTGCCTCCTTTTTTAGCTGTCTATAGGGGAAAACAAATGTGCCACAGAGAAGGTAACGCATCTCCAATGCCACGCACATCGCCAGTCTCTGATAATGCACACTGTTTGTCTTTATTTTGGGGGTGTTCCAGGGCAGTTTTATCATTGTAATTGATTAGTGGCTACAGGGAAAAAAAAATCCAGGAGTAACAGGAAGAAATGAATCCAGGGAAACCATTGACTCAGTTGTAGCATTGATCTGCTTCTGGAAATTATTTATAGGAAAAGATTCACAGTTAATAATATTAGTTTGGACTTCTGGAACAGTTTATCAGGGGATCTTAAAGGCCTCTGCTAACAGTTAATCAAGTAGAAGAATAAGGTAGAGAGCCTCATTTCAGGAGAGGGAAGGCAGCTGGATTGCTGGCATGGATGTGGCCCAACAGTGCATCTCCAAGGATGCAGGGGCTGCAGAGGCAGTGGCACAGCGCAGGGCTTTCAGGGGGTGCAGTTTAGGGGTGGTCCTTGAAGAAGTCAGCACAAAACTCCTGCTTAGAAGTCTTGAGATGTTCACCTGAGCTACAGAGCGACCAGCAGGGACACAGCAAACACTCTCCTCTTCCCACATTGCCTCCACGTGTTGTTTTTGTTTTTAGCTTAATTGATCCGTATCCCACCCTCCTACCCACAGGAGAAATGGCACATCTGAAAAGAGCAGGAGCATTTCTTTCAAGTGGTCCGGTTGGTTTTTCTGGTGCCTATATACAAAATTGCCTGGAAGTAGTAAATAGAATTAAACACCGTGGTTCAGAAAAACAGAATTCTAAGGGCTGTCTGTTGATTTCAAAGCCGATGAAAACAAAGCAGGCTTTGAAATCCTTCCTTGCAGAGCTCTCTTTCTCCCTTCCTTATCATCTAAAAGATGGGCCTGATAATATTTGTTTTCCATTCTTCTTTTGAAACAAGTTGAAAAAATGATGCTCTTGCAATTAAGATGAAAATCCCAATGATTTTAATAAGGTCAGTGTAACGTCTTCATTAGCAAGATGCTGAAATAACTTGATGCAGATCTGGAACTGTTGCTGACAAAAACTTCAGTCTCCCCCTGACGTGTGGAGCCCCATCTGCAGCAGGTGTGAGCTCAGAGCCGGGCCGGCACAGCCCGATTCGCACAGCAACTGCCCACCAAGGTTGGAAAAGACCTCCAAGGTCATCCCGTCCAACCGTCCACCTGCCACCAATATTCCCCCACTAAATCGTATCCCTCAGTGCCACATCCAAATTTTCATGAGCACCTCTGAGGATGGTGACCCAGCACTCCCCAGCAGCCTGTTCCCATGGCTCACCACTCTTCCATAGAAGAAATGCTGCCTAGTGCCCAGCCTGACCCTCCCGTGGAGCAACTTGAGGCCATTCCCACTCGTCCCAGTTGGCAGCTGGTAGCAGGGCAGACAGCCCAGGCAGGCAGGCAGCGCTCACCACTAGGAGATGCAGTTGGTTGTCAAAGGACGGACAGCCTTAAAAAGCAAAACCAAAACCAGTGTCTGTACCCTGTCCAACTTTTGCCTGTGGGTATTGCGCCCAAGCTGCAGCACTGTGGAACCCACGTGGGCCCCAGGGCCGTCCTGGAGCCGTGGCCCCTCCGTGTGTCGGGGGAGCGGTTCTGCAGATTGCTGCCAACACCGAGGCAGAGAGGCAGCACCAATTGTTTGCAATGACATATTCTGCATTTTAAACGATCTCTGATTTCCTGGCAGCTCCCCCGTGCCCTGCCCCTCCGTAAAGCTGTCTAAATAACATTTGTCAGGTGGAGCCGTGGCCGGGCGGCAGCAGGGCAGCCCGCAGCACCACTGCTGATCAGGGACTTCCAAAACCCACCGGCCAATCAATCTCAAGACCTTATTAAATGATAGATGGAATATAATATAAGTCATTATTTCTTCCCTGTGCATGAAAATGAATTATTCAGTAAAGATTTAGATCCTTTTTATTATGACACTGAATTTATAGCGCATGCATAACATAAATGCAGATTCCTCCGTGGCAGAGAGGCGAACCTGCTCCCAGTGCAGTGAGGTGTCCTTACCTGGCCCAGCACCTCTCACTCCTTACCTGGCTCATCACTCTCTCTGTGGTTTGGCAGCCCAACATCTGCGTTCCGCAGAGCCACAGAATCATTAAGCTTGGAAAAGACTTCCACAGTCACCAAGTCCAACCCCGAGCCACCCCACTGTGCCCATTGACCACATCCTTCAGTGCCACATCCCCGCAGAGCGGAGCACCTGGAGGGGCAGTGAGCCCTGCTCTGTGGGCAGCTGTGTGGGCACCCGAGTGTTCTTTTCGAGAAGAAACTTGTTGGGAATTTCAGACATCACTTAGGCTCCCATAACCCACGTGTTGCTGGCAAGAGCCAGCCATTGCTTAGGCCCTACAAATGCTTCCTGCAACAAACCGTGCATCTCTGTTCTCAAACTGCTGTGTGTCAAGAGCTCAGCAAGCCTAAAAGCTGGTAACGAGGGGCAGGTGTTGTGCGGGCAGGTGTGGGCATCCCGGAGTCTGCTGTGTGCAGTGCTACGGCCCAGAGTCTGCGTTGGTATTGGTACTGGTAACTTTCCTTGTTAACGGAATGAGCGCTCCAACTTTTAATTGTGCAGCTGGGGACAACATTAGCGCTGAGCAGCAGCTACAGAAGTTGACTTTGCAGGTCGTTAGCTCCTGAAAATCCGTTGGGAATGGATCTTTAGCACGGGCGACCAAGAGGAGAGCAGAGCACGGCGTGGGCGAGGGGCTGGGAATGGGGAGAGAGCAGGGGTGGGCGTCGTGAACATCGCCTGCGGGCACCGCGTCACCTGCGGGCTGCGGACCGTGGGGGAGGTCGGGATTTGGGGCGCCGGGGTGAAGAGTTGCCAGCGCGAGCGGGCACCGGGACGAGGGGCACCGGGACGTCGAGCGTTGACACGTGGCGGCACCAGGACGTTGACTTTAGACAAGCGGGGGCACCGCGACGTCGGGTGCCGACATCCGCGGGCGCGGGGACGCGGGGCTCCAGCCGCTCGCTCGCTCGCGGTCGCCGGTCAAGCGCCGCCTTCCGACCCCTTCCACCCGCCCTCGCTCCGCAGCGCTCCCCAACCCCGGCCAGAGCCGTGGAGCGGCGCCCCCGGGCGGAGGAGGCCGAGCGGCGCCGCCGGGCACGCGGCGGGGGGGAAGAGCCGCGGCGTCGGAGGCGCGCGCGCGGAGCGAGGAGGGCGCTCGCGGCGGTGACGTCACGCAGGGCCACGCGACGGCGGCGGCTCCGCCCCGTGGCGCGGGGGTGGGGGGGGCGGCGCAGCGCGCGGGATGGAGGGAGGAGAGGATGGCGGCGGGGGGGCGGGACGCGCGGCGCTGAGCTAAGCCGAGCCCACGTGTGACGGATCTTGGCCGCTTCCCCGGCGCCGCTCCAGTGAGGTCCTCCGGTAGCGGAGGGAGGAGGAGGAGGAGGAGGTGGTAGTGGTGGAGGAGGGGGGGGAAGGGAAGGGAAAGGAAGGGAAGGGAAAGGAAAGGAAGGAGGGGAGCGGAGAGGAGCCGCAGCGAACCGAGCCGAGCCGAGCCGGGCCGGGGAGGCGGCAGCGGCGGCGAGCGGGGGGGGGGGGGTCTCTCGCTCGGCGCGGATCGCTGCGGGCTCCGCGCGGCCATGGAGGCGGACGGGAGCCAGGCGACCTCGGGCGGCCCCGGCGAGGCGCAGCACGACCCCGGGTAAGTGTGCGGGCGGGGGGGCCTCCCCGGCCCCGCTCCGCGCCGTGCCCCGTCAAAATGGCCGATGGCGGCCCGGCGCTGAGCCCCGCTCCGCTCTCTCCCCCCAGCAAGATGTTCATCGGCGGCCTCAGCTGGCAGACCTCCCCAGGTAGGCGCCGCGCCCGCCCCCCCGCCCCCCCTCCGTGCCCGCGCTGCCCCCCGCTCTCCTCTCCCCGCAGACAGCCTGCGCGACTATTTCAGCAAATTCGGGGAGATCCGGGAGTGCATGGTCATGCGGGACCCCACCACCAAGCGCTCCAGGTAAGCGGCCCCCCCGTTCCCCCCACATTCCCTTCCCTCCCCGCTTCCCCCCCCCCCGGACAAAACTTTGCGGCCCGGCCCGGGTCCGCCCCGCGGAACAAAGCGGCGGCGGTGCGGGAGGTGCGGCCCCCCGGTGCTCATCGCCCCCCGCCCGTCTCCGCTCTTTGTCTCGGCAGAGGCTTCGGCTTCGTGACGTTCGCGGACCCGGGCAGCGTGGACAAGGTGCTGGCCCAGCCGCACCACGAGCTGGACTCCAAGACGGTAGGTGGCCGCCCCCAGCGCCGCCCCGGATTCGGCTCGAACTCGCGAAAGCGGCAACTTTTTTTATTTTATTTTATATTTTTTCCGCTTTAATCCGAATTCTCCCTGCCGGCCGGTGGCTCCTCCCCACGCCTCACGTTCTATCGAGCGATGACATTGAAAAAATCCCAGGGTGAAATGTAACTTTTTGTGGCGTTCGGCTGCAGGTTTCCTGCGGGGCACTTTGTGCGGCTGCGATGGGTGATGATGTCCTCAGTCCGTCCCAGGGCCACCTGCAGCCGCACCGTCCCCTCAGTTGGTGCTGCTCCCGGAGCCCACGCTGGGGACCCGTGGGATTCACGCGTTGATCCACGAGGGTGAGGGCTGGCAGAGCTGGGCTGGCAAAGCTGCTCAAGTGCCGGTTTGCTGTTTGTGCAAAGCTTTTTGCTACAGTCGCTCTCCAGTGGGTAACGTGACATTATTCAACTGAGATACATATTTTTTTTTAAGTGATCATTTAAAAAACAAAAAACGCCCAGGGGACCTACCCCCTTGCCCTTGCACCACGAGTTGTGTCCAGCCCCCACTGCTGCCCTGTACCCAGGGGCTGGGGCTGAAGTTTGCGATTCACACGCTGCCTCTGCACTGTGCCCAGCAGCGGCGTGGGGAGGACGCCGGTAGAGGTCATTTCTGCTCTGGTGCCGCTCAGTGTAAGCAGTGCTGTATGGGGATGGAGGGGCTGTGGGGCTCAGCCCTGCGTGGGCGCTCCTGTGGGCGCGTGGCCGCGGCTGGGCTGCTTTGTGGTGCTGGGACTGAAATGTGACAGCGGTGAAAGGGAGAGTCCTGCCTCGGTGCCGGAGCATCCGCTGTGTACCTGGATGTGATACAGCCGCGCCAAGGGCAGGCCGAGCGTGGTGTGTGGCCCTTAAAGGGGTTGATGTGAAATGCAAAGCCACTAGGAAGCAGTTGAGGCGTAATGCTCAAACCCGACTGACAGATTCTGCTGGGCCTGTCCGAGCTCACGGCCCCTGCCTTCGCCTGCCTCAATAATTTGATTTGGGGTTGAATCAGATACAGTGCGGTCACTGATTTGACTGTGCTCCAGAGATTAAAGTCACCAGACCTTGGTGTACGGCCGTATTCTGGGTATTTTTAAAGATAAATCTAGTTAGGAAGAACAAAGGCAAACAATATCCGAACAAGAGTTTAAAAAATGCCAGGAGGACACCCTCTCTTCCTCTGCCCATGATTATGTTCTCCCCAGCTTTCTATGGCACAGAGTCCCTGCAGCGAATTAGTTTGCTTTGCTTGGGGGAGGGGCAAAAAGCTCGGCGAGGGCCAATGTGCCTCAGTGCTGCCGTGTGAGCGATGGAGGCAATTCTACCAGCAGGGCTCCTCGCAGTCAGAGCGTGGCTGGCGGGGCGCAGCTCGCGGGTCGCCCCGGCCGCTCGTCCGTAGCCGTGTTGTAGTGATGCTGCTCGGTGTAACATAGCGTTTGACTCTGTTTCAACGTTCAGCGCAGGAGGCAGATCGGTTGGGTATTGGCATGGAAACGTCGCTCTTGTTTACAGTTACGTTAAAAGCTTTGTTTAGGTAATGGCCATTCATATCAGAAATAGTATTATAGTCATTTCCTAGAGGACTTGTAGATACAGTAAGTAGAATCGTACCTAACTAACTCGATATTATTTTTTTTTTGTAGAAATTTTTTTGTTTGCTGAAGTAGTTGATGGGGTTGTGCAAAAGGTATGGATGTGCCACGGGGTGCCGGGGTGCCTCTGAGAATGGCAGCCTTGGGCAGAAAGTTTGTACGAAGGAGAGCTCGGTTGCTCAGGAGGAGCTGTTGCTGCGGTGCAGGGAGCTCCGTGCTCTTTAGACTGACCTTGAGAAATGAGCGGTTCGCTTCAGAATGTAACGGCTCTGCTGCTTTCTGCCAGTGGGATCGTGGTGTTCTGGTGGGACTGGTGTTCGTTTTGCAAAAACTTTTCCATTGGAAGTGGCTGTGGGAATGTGCCTGTTTGCCTTTGGGTACCCGCATGGGCCATCCATACCTTTTGTGTCGCCCCAGTAGACAGATGCTAGTCAGTGCTGGATGTATTTGTAGATAATGTTAATCTTTATGAAAAAGGTTAGCTTTCTAGTTAGAAAAGTTACTGTTTAATGCTTTTTGAACAAAGAAGAGGCACGTAATCACTCATTTCTCAGGTGTGTTCTAAAAGAAAGATACCGTATTTGTATCTGATGCAGACAAATTAGTGATAAGTTGCACTTCAAATGCTGGTGCTGTTTACGATTTTGACATATTAAGTGAGCAGAGCTGCTCTTTAGGAGAGGTTATTTGTCACAGAAATCACCACAGGAATAATGGTACCTAAGTGGGAACACCTCCTTGTTTGGGGGCAGCTGCAGGGGGTGAAATACAGCCAACCCCAAGCCAGGAAAGCCTCTGCTTCTGCCTTCACATGGTCAGGGTCAGTGTTTGTTACGCAGTCGCAGGGTGCCCAGTCCAGGTGGGATGTAGTCCTCTGAAACACCCTCTCCTAGCCTAGTTAGAATGTGAGTGCACGCAGATGCTGCTAAAAATACAGAAGCAATCAGCAGCATGCGTGCACTTTCTTGCAGTTGTTTTTGGCAGTAGAGCGCTGCCTAAAAGGTGTGATTATTTATTTACATCCAGTCCTTCATTTATGGTGGTGGATTTCTGTTTTCAGGTGATTTTTGACGGAGTGCAGTTGGTAATGCCCCATGTGAAAGTTGCTTTTAAAATTGCAGAATGAACGTTTTAGAACTGCAAAGTGGATATGGCTTGTAATTTATGCAACACAGTGGGTGTCAGTGCTACATCTGAAGGGAGCGAGGGATGAAACCAAGGTGTGCTTACTGATCTTCTTGGTCCTTTTTGTCCGTGCTTCACTCAGGAATACTTCAGGGAACTCCCTCATGGAAAATCTTTTTTGAAGAGCTGGGTCTCTCTGGCTCACAGTGGCTGCACGTTTTGTTTTGCTCTCCTCTCTTTCCCTCACCTCCGCAGTGCTCCTTTGCGGTTCTTTGGGGGAAATGCTGTAGCAGATCCATGAGGAGCGCTGTTAGGAAGGATGGTCTCGCAGTCCTTCTAACAATTCAGTTTTAATTACCAACTGAAACTGAAGCAATTTGACTTTGAATTTTGCATTCTGCGTTGATGCTGCTAAGCCAGCTGGCAAAACAGAAGAATAAAACAGAGGCCAAAGTGACCCAAAACCCAACGGAAGGAAGGTGCAGGTGTCAGGGCCTACAGGGAAGGGCTCGATCAGGAGTGCTGCTTTCTGTGCAACCTCAAGAGTGGTGTTGCTGCAAAAGCAGCACCCGGAGGCCGGTACAGGGCTCCCTGGGCACTGCTGGTGGTTGTGACCCACTGGCCCTGCTCAGGGTGCACAGGAGTTTGCTTCCTCCCTTCCTTGTCTCCCTCCCTTTGCCGGGAAGTCTCTGACAAACCCAACCTGTGATCTCTCACGGGGTGGTTGTAGGGCCCAGTGTGCTGAACTATAAGCCTGAGAAATGAGAGATTAATAATTCAATGATTTTTTTTTTTTTTTAATAAGACAAGAAACAGCCTGACAATCTTGTTGATTTCTCCTTTCTTTTTCCTCAGATTGACCCTAAAGTTGCATTTCCCCGACGAGCACAGCCTAAGGTAAGTAGGAGGATCAATAATAGGATTTTAGGCACACAGAGAATCATTGTTGCCAGGCAGTTCAGGTTTCAAACAGGGAATTGGCAATGAAAGCTTTTAAAGCCGGAGTGCATGGCGTCTTAAGGGTATCAGCGCATGGCTGTGAAACTGCAGGAGAGCTGCTTTGTGCTGTTCGTGCCTGCAGTTAACTGTCTCCTTGCAGAGTCCCGGTCAGTTTGCTGGCTGAAAACCAGAGGCTTCTCTGGCGGTGGTGGGAGATTGTTGCCACATTACTTGGGTTTGTTATGCTCTTTTCTGCAGTATGTTTTGCATGGTATTTATGGAGAGCGTTTGGATTAAATGCAGACTTCAGGCTTGTTTTGAGCTGAGCTTTCAGTTCTGCGGTTGTGATGGATGGGGGTATATCTCTGCCTGCATTGTTTGCAAGTTTTCTTTTGTGTAGCTTCAGAGATGCGTTTGGATATTAGCAAGTGTTGGAGAGCAAGTTCTGATGGAGCTGTGAACTCTTCAGGCCACAGGGTATTCCTCTGCAGGCATGGGGAGGCAATGAGCTTTAAGTCGGGCAGGCTGAGCAGGGACCTCCTAGCATCCTTGCAGGGTGCTCCACAGCGCGGGGTTCCACGCCAGGACAAAGGCGCTGGCTGTGTGCAGATTCTTGGCTCTGAGTTATCGCTCAGTGCCGCCTCCTTGGGCAGACCTGCGGATGGAGCAGGAGTGGCTGTTGCTCTTCAGGTCCTGCCTAGCAAAACCAGCAGATCGGTTTCAAATCCCAAAACATTTGCAGTTGCGTTTGAATTTTGAAAGCTAAAAGAAAACTTCTGTGATTGGCTTTCTGACTGCCTGTTTTTGAGAATCTATAGGAAGCATTGATGTGATGTGTGCCACTTGTACTTTTATACACTGTTTGTCTTGGGTTGTTTTGGTTGAAAAATTGGAAAAGAAGACTGTGGAGTTGCAGAGTGAATTCAGTAAGGAGAAGCATTTAACAGCCTTTGTGGCTTGAGACCACCTGAGCAAGTTCAGCCCAACAGTTTTGTTGTGTATGGTTTCTTATCAAAGCAGGTGGTTTAATAGTGGAACTGTAACATTAAATATTGTACAAAATGTGCATCTGGGGAAAAATGTGTGATTTTTAGGAACGGGCATACAGCAGGAGAGGTGCTGGTGATTTCTTTAAAGTGAAATGGGGGGGGGGGGGGGGGGAGGGAACAAGAAAACCCAACAGTGTACTTGTGGAGCTTTAAACCAAATGAATGTGGTAAATGAGTTAAAGGTTCTTTTCTTCATTGGACATATCTAATAACTAATTAGTGAATAACAAGCTGCCTGATTTGCTTCCTTGCTAAGCAGAGTTTATACTTGTGGGGTTTGTGGCTTCTGGATTATGGTGTTGGATTAGTGCTGTCTTTCAGAGAGATTTTTAAAGTTTCCAGGATTCTGAAAGGTTTCATAATTAAAGAAGGTGATCTTGCATGAAGGTGATCTCACACTGTGATTGATGCTTCTTTCCTCCTTCCAGCGCCTTTAAAGGCTTATTTACTTTTTAAACTGCCTTCAATTACCAGGTGTCTGTTTCTACAGTGCTATTTGTGAAAGTTTATAACGCTTACAGTGGAGCTGTTAAACTGTCCCAGGTGACTTCTTCTAAAACAACAACAGCAAAAAAAACAACAGGGCTTGTCTTATGCAGTGGGTATTGCTGTGTTAAATTGACCTGATTTCTGCATTCTTTAACAGGAAACTTTTACCAAGGAAACAAAGGGGATTTTGTTTTTGTCGGAGTGCTTTGGCTGGTTGGTGGCAGACATCTTTCAGGCGTGGGGCAAAGCCCGGGATGTGGGCTGCTCCCAGGGGTGGCCCTGTTGCGCTGTGCTGTGTGTGCTGCCTCCGTGGGGACCGGGATCCCGCATGGCGTTTGAGGGGCAGAAAGAAACTGAAAGGAGCCTGATGGAGAAAACGTGTGCAGTGAAGAACAGGTTTTACACTGTTTTGTGATACGTTGTTCTGGACTGTGTTTTACGACCTGGACTTTCTGTTTCTTACTTAGATACCGATTTAAGGTTTTGGGCTTAAGTTGTTCCCTCATCCCAGTTGAATACTGAGTGTTGTGCATTAGAATGCAACTGTTTTGGAGTCTAACTAACTAGCTAACGCCTGGGGCTGTGCAGATGAATGGCGTTCAGTGCCGTGTCTCTCTCTAGGTGTGAGAGGAGATCTTTTCCCCAGGCAGTTCCCCCAGCTGTGCCCCCAGAACCAGGGCTGTGCTCCCCGTGAGGCCGGGCCGCAGAAGGCCGCTCAGGGCAGTGCAGTATCCGGGGGCCGCGGCTGGCCGCTCCCAGGCTGCGTTCCCCCCGGCTGGGGGCTGTGCTCTGCAGGGTCGCAGTCACTTTGTGTGTGTGCATAATGATGTGTGTGCATAATGATTTGTGTGCGTCGCTTTCCCCATTCGGATTCATGCTAATTGGCCAGGCTCCCTCTTTCAGACTGCGTCCGGGCAAAATGCTTTCTTTTGGGCTTTCTAAACTGCGTCTCCATGATGTGTCACCTCGCTGGTGATGCAGATTGGCTGCTGAGCAAGAAGTGGCAGACTGGAACAGTGGAGTGTTCACCCTGGTTTTCTGAGAGCAGCCCTTCCACAGATCCTTAGCGATTGCCCCCGGTGGATTTCTGATGTGCAGTGCTCCCCTCCTTGTGCAGTCTGACTTCAAGCTGCTGTTTTTGGACATTTGCTGCAGAGCTTTAACTTGCCGAGGTTCCAGTGTGGGCTAACGGAGATGAAGGAATATAGCGAGGTGCTGTGGAGGCCGCTGTTCCTTGATAGCAATCTGTCTTGCTTCCAAATGCTGGAAGGAGCTCTCGAGCAGTTGATCATTTTTAACTCTGCTGACATAAAAATCCTTAAAAAGCAGCCAGGCGGGAGGAAGCAGTTGAGTACCCCTTTTTGAACACTGAAGACTACAGTAATGTGACTTTTTAATACGTACAGACTATTGACTCTGACCTTACCCATTATGTTATGTGGGAGAAGCCTTACCAAATTTAGCGTGTTCATTAGATATTTTCAAGCGTGATGGATTCCCACCTCCCCTGCTGCGAAGAAACTCTCAGATGGTACGTGTGTGCTTGCGTGACTTCGGTGCAGTTATTTGCTGCTCGTGTCGTTGTGCTCAGTGACATCGGGCAGTGCCACGTGTGTGACCTGCTGGCCACTGCCTGCATGTGCTCCGGGAGCACTGGGCAGGCAGCACCCAGCCCAGGAGCTCCGTCTGCTGCCAACCCAGAGCAGAGCTTGTTCTTGTCGAGGTTCTGTTGTTACTGAGGAGCTGATCTGTGTGTGCTGGGCATGGTGTTCTGATGACTGTCCAGCACATAGTAGCAAGAGACTTATTTGGGGAGAGAAGTGTTTAGACTGGTAGTCAAATGGTGGTACTGGATACAGTGCTCTTGTTAGGTGTGTTTTATCCTGACAGAGGACCAGCCCTGGTTCTGGCATGGCTGTGCCCAGTCAGCCAGCGTGCCCCCAGCTGGCTGTGCCTGCCAGTGCCTGGGCTGGACGGAGGTGCAGTTCTACACATCTGTTCCTCCTTGAGTGGAAAACAGCATCAACAGCTCTTCTTTCATTGGAGTTGTCCCGGTTAAAGCCACGTGAAGCTGACTGTTCCAGAGCAGCAAATGGAGGGCATGCCCTTTTGGAATAACACTCCGGCTAACCTGGGATTTTTTTTTATTATTTTTTTTTAAGTGAACCAGTGGATTTGGATGTCTGATTCCAATTAAGCTAACTGTAGGTGGGGAGTCTGCATCCCTTGGCTGGTAAATGTGAGTCAGAGTAGCAGAGAGATTTTATTCCAAAGCAAATGATGGACCTTGAGAATCCAGAGTTCTGCTCCCATGCTTCTTCCTCCAAACTCTTCCAGGTTAGTCCTGTTTCTTTTCATCTTAGGTGGAAGGTGCACTCTATGAAATAATGCAAACTGGATTCTCCAGCAGAGCTCGGGACTCTTCCTTTCTGCTGCCCCTCCTTCTCTACCAGGCTGTCAAAAGCAGCAAAAACAAACCTTGCTGCTGTTACAATTGTTGTTATTATCGTTCGTCTTATTTCCCTGCATTTGCATATCAGGATAGAATAAGGGAGTTACTACTTTCTGCTCTTGGCATACGTGTGTATCTTAATTATTACTGCTGTATCTTCTACATACAGAGTAGTAGGAGATCCCTACCAGATGGCATGAGAGACTTGGTTTGACAGTTGATGGCCAGTGTATGGGTGTTTGCAGCCTATCCTGGTGGAGATGCCTTGTGTGCTGTAAGCTGCTCATAGAATTTGTCTCCCTCTGGCACTAGGTGGTCAAATGAAAAAGTTGATGAGTCTGAGTCTTAGCTTATCTTCTCAGGTAGTAAGGGCTCAGGGTTTTAAAACCTATTATTCTTGAGCTCAGCTTCTTGCTCTCTGATCTCTTAGAGGCAGAACACGATCTCTGTTCTTTGATGCTGGCAGACAGAGGAAAAAGTGCCTGTGTAGGGCCTTCTGTGAGTGTGGTGAGCTTGGTCAGAAGCTGGAGTTGAGGTGGATTTTATTCTCCCTAACCACTCAGGCAGATTGCTCACATTGTCCTTAACCTCAAGAGAGCGTCCTATTATTTTGTAAAACGCGTGTATTTCTATTATTGTTGCCTAAGGATGGCTTTTGTATTCAGAATGGTCCTGTGCCTAGCCTATTTTCCTTTCTTTTTACTTAGTGCTAACTAAAAATTAAAATTGAGCATCACTTGCCTTTTTTTCTGCAGAGGTAAGTCCTGTGCACCAAGACCTAGCTGCTTGGATACGGCAGGAGAGGGTCAGAAAAGGGGGAGGACAGGCAAATGGGAGAGAAGCAGCATGCTGACACCCCTGTGTGCTCCTCTCTGCTTCCAGATTGAGTACATCTCGTCTGCAAAGTGCTGAGCCTTTACCAGCCCGGGGGTAGGTCTACTAATGACTGATCTAAAACCATCAAATTC